GTCAAATAATTTCTATGATCTAACAAAACTCATAAGCATGCATAATTCATATCAACAATTTTCAATAACCATATGAACATAATATAAAACTTGAAACTTTGACAATTATCTTTTAAATTGGATTAGCATGATCATTACCACATCAAAACACAGGTGTATAAGATCAAAAACAGCTTAGGGTAATGATCCTAGTCCAATTCCTGCTAAAAACATCGAAAATCTGCACTCAGGGCCTCCTACTCGTCGAGTGCATGAACCTACTCGACGAGTAGGATGAATTTTCACATGGACTCAGCGAGTTCACTGAACAATGATCAGAAAAATCGATTTTTTAAGCAATTTGCATCAAGTATAATTGAAAACAAGCCTAGTCTCTGATATCAACGTTGGGTTTTGAGCATTCGAACACTCCTATGGTGTACATGCAACCCTACATACATTGGATCTATGTTTTCTCTATTATACATGCAAATATCAATTTTCAAGGTATCATCCTAACTAGCATATTATGGAGTATATACAATATGAAATATAGTTGAATGACATGCTTTTTTTGTAGCTTGGTTCCTTATACCTTTAAAGTGCTTAGTGCCCCGAGTGTTGCACCTCAAATGGTTCACACAACACCACCAACAATTAGAATAACTTGAGAGAATATCATATTGCACCTCATGAAATCGGCTAGCCCTCCTTGCCAAGACTCTAGGTCACATTTCATGAACTATGAGGCTTCTTATATAGTGTGCACATTAGGGTTACACCATGTAACTCATGACTTTCCACATTCTTCATGATCCATGGGTTTTAACCTCCATGGAGTATCCATGGGTCACCACATGGGTTTAGCCCAACATGAAGAACTATAGATCATAAGCCCACTTTATAAGAATGAGTGATTTACCAAATCAATCCCTATTTATTTAATTAGTCTCTTGTGATCACAAAATTAATTCCAAACTAATTCTTGATCAATAGTAATTAAATAATATTAATATATTAGAACTTATAATATATTAATAAATCATAAATTTCCTCTTCTCACAAAAGTCTATCTAAATTATTCCGATGTCATGCAACCCAAATGGACCATGCTACTCTTTGGTCAAGTACATACCAATAATAGTTATGGGCTTAGACACCTAATCCAATAGTTAATTGTCCTAAATGAGTTATTCTTGTAGATCCATGGTTCCTGGGAACTCTTGTGGCATAAAGATGCCAACTTTATGGTCTTAAGGGCTCCATGCATCCATTAAGTCGTTCTTTTGGTCTCTTTTGAGCTTTTGAGGTTCTTCTAGCCTTGCATGAGAGTATAGTTGGAAAATTTACTTGACCTTTCAGCCTTTAAGGTCCAGATCTTCATCCATGAGCTTTGTCTTGATGATTTGGTGATTAATGATTAAGCCCTTAACCTATTAAGCTTAGGGTTTGGGTTTCTAACCCATTGGAATGGTTCTTAAGGGTAAATTTGGAAACTTTACCCTTCCAGACGTTATTTCAGTTAAGATCTGAGTGGTGGAGCTTTTAGTTTAGAGATTGGTGACTTAATATATTAAGAGTTTTTGCTAACTCAAGAACTCGGCGAGTTCATGAGTGAACTCGGCGAGTTAGAATGATTTTTCCTGATTCTGTTGTCTAAAGGGGAAACTCAGCGATTTAGATCGACTTTTCGTGATTTTGTTGATTAATGGGGGAACTCGGTGAGTTGAGTCAACTCGGAGCATTGACTTTGACTTTTGACTTATGCCTTTGACCAAGTTGTCATAAGGGGTGTTTGAGGTAATCTGAATTGTAAAATATGGGCTTAATATAAGGCTCATATGAGATTGAGCCCAATTTGTAAAATTGGGCTATTAATGGGCTTTCATGGATTTTGTGGTTTTGGATCTTGTTAGATTTGGGCTTGGGCCTTAGTTACAAATCTTGTTGGGCCAGGGGTAAAATGGTTATTTTACCCCGAGTATGGATTATGGATCGTGATTTGGAACCTAATTGCTAAGTGGGTGATATTTTGGTATTGTTAGCTCGAGAAGTTGTCAGGGAAGTAGCTAAGGATATCTTGCAGTGAACTTCAGCATTTGAGGTGTGTCTCCTCATTGTTATATGGTTCGAAGGCACCAATTTCGGACCATTTAGTTTATGTGTTGTAGTAAGACTCGGGGGGTTAGCCCTTGGCATTATGTATGAAAGACCAGGAGGCGGCTCCTGGTACATTATATGCAACACCGGAGTCTAAACTTTGGCAAGTAAATAGTTATGTAGTATAGTTTGTATGCTAGTTGTCTTTGTAATGCTTGCATGGAAGACCAGGAGGTGGCTCTTGGCACTTGTATGTAAGACCCAGGGTTGTGGCCCTCGAACTGGCAAGAAAGATCACGAGGTGGCTCGTGGCATAAGGGCAGGACTATGGTTGGCACATAGCACCTTTATTGATTATGATATATGAATGTTATACACAAAGGGCAAGACTATGATTGTCCGAGGAGGATTGTCCGATTTTCAACAATGCAAAGAAGGATCTTGTGAAAGAATACAATTGGGATAAGTCGTAGTATTTTTATGTATTAAATGCAGCTTTAATTTATGTTTTTTGTCTAGTATTAAGTCGTGTTTTAGGAAGTAAGTTATGTTTTAAATTTTTTAATCGTATTTTATATTTTAATTAATGTAACCTTTTTTATTTAAATATTAATTGTTTGTCTTTGACCAAATTAATTCCACCCCCCATTTCCACCAACTTTCATTAAATTTTTCAACCACCATTTCAACTACTTTAAAAAAGACCACACTCACTATAAATAAGACCACTATAAACAAAGAAACGAAACGATCATTCTTTCTCTCAGAAAAAATAGTGTCCTCGTCGTCGAATGATGTTTTTGATAACGTGATACAATCGGTTATCTCCATACGTAATAGGCTAGAACAACATCTTAACAACATTGAATCGAGTAATACGCAACATAAACGAAGAAGATATATTTAAAGACAGCGTGAAGCAGTTCACCAACTTCTCATGCATGATTATTTTGACAAGCATGCTCTCTTTGAAGGATATTATGTCCACCGGCGGTTCCGGATGCATAAAGATTTGTTTATGTGTATTGTAGAAGGTGTGACTTCAGTGTCTGAGTATATGCAGCAACGCCCGGACGCAAGAGGTATGTTAGGCTTTGATCCAATTCAAAAATGTATTGTTATATTTCGTATGTTAGCATATGTCACCCCCACCCCAACCCCCCACCCCTGATGCACTAGACAAGAGTTTTCATAAGTCTGGATGTACCGCCTGAGAAAGTCTTCACGAATTTTGCATAGCAATCATCTCTTTGTATGGTCCACGATATTTGTGTCGTCCTACTGCTAGTGACATACAAAGTTGTATGCTCATCATGGAAATGTGCATGGTTTTCATGGGATGTTAGGAAGTTTAGATTGCATGCATCGGAGATGGAATGTATGTCCTAACACATATCAAGGACTATACACAAAGGGTAATTATCATTATTCCACGGTCGTACTTGAAGTTTTAGCCTCACAGGATTTGTGGATCTGGCATGCCTTTTTCGGTAGTATCGGTTCGCTTAATGACATTAATATTCTCAATAATTCACCAATATTCAACAAGTTGTATGACGGTACTGCCCTAGATTTGTCATTTGTACTTCAAGGAAATACATACAAATTTGGGTACTATCTTGTGGATGATATCTATCCTGACCTTTCTGTTTTTGTTAAAAGTTTGTCATGCCCAAATGACCCTCAGAGGTCCAAATTTAAAAGAGCCCAAGAAAAAACAATAAAAGATATCAAAAGATCGTTTGGAGCACTTAAAAAGCGTTGGCAAGTAGTTGCAAAAGCATCCATGTTTCATGATATTTCTACTATGACAGAGGTGATGTAATCATATTGCATAATATCATATTAGAACATGAAGGAAACCTGATGTGTGTACGACGAGAATGAAGTCATCCCAGAGACACAACCATTATAATATGGTGGTCAAGAATGGTTACCAAAAATGAGGATAATTCACAGTGCAGTAATCCATACCGATCTTCGTCGTCATTTGACCGATCAACTTTGGACGATGGACAACCTTGATCTAAATATGCTACTGAAAGACAAATTGGAAAGTCAGTATTCGGAGGAAGACCCGTTGCTTTAGTGTGTTTTTTATGAAGTGTGTTTTAGTTATGAAGTGTGTTTTTTATGTATTAAGTCGTGTTTCTAGGTATTAAGTCGTGTATGTCGATGTTAAGTCATTTATGCCGTGGTTTTAATTATTAAATCGTGTTTCTAGGTATTTTAAGTTTTAATTTATTGTAACTTTTTTAATTTAATATGAAATGTTTCTGCTTTAAAAAATATAATATATATTATATTAATTGTATGTGGTTTAAAAAAATAAAATGTGTTTAATACTTGTGCACAAAAAAGTTCGTATATTAATATAAAGTGATTTAATTAAATTAGAAAAAGAAAATCAAAAAGAAAATGGAGTGCTAAGAGTATTACCACTCTCTACCACATGCTAAGATTGGGTGCTAAATAGTCAAAAATGAGATGGCACTCAAAAATCAGATGTGGTTGTTGGACGTTAGACCACTCTCCTTAGCCTTATATGAAGTTGAACACATCAGATAGAAAGTTTATCATCATAAAAAATTCACATATGCAGGCCTGATAGAAAGTTTATCATCATACAAAATACACATATTCACAAACTCTTGTAATATAATGCATCATGAATCAATATTTAAGGTCAAAAAATTAGTCACAAGTTTGAAGAAATCCATCATTAAGTATATGAGTGTCCTTTCAAATTTATCTTCAAAAAAACAAGCCCAACAATTTAATATCTACCATGATAAAGAGTAAACATATTTAAAAGAAATTATCATAGATAGCAACTTGCTTCCGAGATGGAATACTTGCATAAATAAAGGTGGAGGTTGTGTAACCACTAACCACATTATAAAGTTTTTATTTCAGTATGGATTGAACTTCTTATAGACATTAGCCTCTTATATAATGCTCTCAAGAGTTCTAAAACAAACCCTGTTGCAGAAACAATACATCATCTTCAATCATAAAGTATACATGCCAACACTTTTCAAAGTACATCATCTACCATAACTACAAAACCAACGTAAGTCAAATGGCTCATAACAACTTTACAAATCCCTTTGAAAGATCAACACCAAGTACAAATTAGCATATGACTAAAACTACACTATCATTGTATCACTCGTGACTTGAACAAGATAAGAAGCTTTACTTCGAACCTACACATTGTTACACAAAACTTCATCATAAAACAACAAAAAACCAAATTATAGAAATATAATAAACGAATTAATCACACACACCTTTGAAGCATAAGACCTTGTGTCGGTAATGTTGATTTGACAACAACAATTGCGTAGATAGAGGCCCCACATTTCATTCAACAATGTCTTCTCTTTCATCATTGGATTATATAAAAACCAGTTTTCAGTCAACACCAAGTAATTATAAATTCTAAAAAGATCACAAGTTTTATCTTTTAGATTGATCAATGTCAGTTGTCTTATCAACTCTTCTTCATCCTCTACCTTGTCAAGATAGCCTAGAAGAAATCGGAAAGCAATTTCACTTCTAAGTTGCTTGGAGTGCAAGCAAACTGAAGGGATACACTCAACAGCTCTCAAGCAATTGATGTCCAAAGGAATCCTGTTTTTACAAAATCAAAAAAGATAGTTTTTTTTTTTTTGGTAATTAAGATAAGGGAAAACTCCATCAAAGTCCTTATATTTTGGCCTTATAATCGATTTAGTCCTTATATGTTTTTTTATTCAATTAAGCCATAAAAACCGGCAATTATATACATTTTTACCCTTTTACATGGGAAAACTTTCAAAATCTACACTTTGTGCCCAGGTTTTAAATTTTATTAAATATTTGGTCCAAAAATTTACAAGTTTGGCCTGAATTTCAAATTTTGGTTACGTGTTCATCCTAAATTTAGTTTTTTACAACTTTTTTTCAAAATTTTGTTTTGAATATGTTTTTTAGCTGTAAAAATCATATTTATAACAAAAATATATTTTTTCACATAAAAAACCTTTTTTCTATATAAAAACTTTTTTATATGAAAATATATTTTTTTGTATAAATATGATTTTATAGTAGCAAAAAACCATATTCAAAACAATATTTTGAAGAAAAAAGATGTAAAAAAACCAAATTTACGATGAATTCGTAACACGACATTTTGAAATCTTGGCCAAAAGTGTAAATTTTTGGACCAAATTTGTAATAAAATATAAAACTCTGGCCAAAAGTATAAAGAAGGGTCAAAATGAATACAATTGTCGATTTTTGGGACTTAATTGAGTAAATAAAAAACATATAAAGACTAAATAAATTATGAGACCAAAATGTAAGGACTTTTATGGAGTTTTCCATTAAAACAAATAAAAGAAAAGAAAATAGTGATGAATAAAAACCTTGAAGCAATGGATTTTGATATTTTTGTACAGCTGGCACTCCATTCTTCATCTTTGAAAAAATTAATCAAAGATATCATACATTCATATAAATCCATAGACAAGCCTAGTAATTGTCGATCCAACATAAGACGAATTATAACAACCACCAACTCTTCTACTTCTGATGTGGAGAAAACAAAATGAAAATTCCTACAAAATAAATTAAAAGAAATTTAAAATTTTGTTACTAAACATGTCATGTGGGCCCGTTTGTTATGCAGGACAAAACAGGTTGTACTGTGTCTAATGTTAATAACTGCAAATTTGTGTCCCATCCAAAAAGGTGGGACAGGGTGTTGGTTTTTGTCTATGCTTGTGCAAAAGACGTAAATGCCCTCATCATACTGATCATTGAAAATATTTGTATTGGTATATGAAGTTTTCCCTAACCTTGTTTGGCTACAAGTAGAGATGTATTTGATCCATGCTCTAATGTTTTGAGGTGGGCCCACGTGTTCAGAATCTGAAATTAGAGAAAAAAGGAATTAAGTAAGATGCTATAAAGTATAAAATTCAAATAAACATAAGAATGTTGCTATTTCTTGAATTATACCTCCAAGGTCCATTTCAGTATCACAAGAATCTTTTTTAGGTAAATTCAGTAAATATCCATAAGTTTCAAGGGCAACATTGAGTTCCAAATAAGTTGGAAGCCAATCAATCTTTAAAGACAATGATTCACCCTAAATAAACCAAGAAAATAAACTAAATTATACATGATGAATTATATTGACTTGAATTAATGACAATTGACACCTCATTTTTTAGCAAAATTGCACACCAAAAGTTGACTGCAGCACTTCTGAGAGCTTCCTTTGATGAGTACAACACTTTAATTATAAACATGGAAAAAAAAACGAAAATGTGAATTATTTTGTAAAAGATGTAAAAGTATTAGGAGATGAATGAGTTTAACATACTCAAGTGAAAAGTCCATGTTGCTATGGATTTCTCTACTTTGCCATATTTTTGGACCAATTTCAATAGCCAGCCATTAGTCAATAAACCCTCAAAGAATGTTTCTCCTGCAACAAGAAGATGACAAATACTATTGGTAAGGGTAATTACAGGATTGGACTTTGAAATTACCAGATTGCCCCTTACTAACATGTTTCCAATGTTTTTTTATTACCATGTATGACATGAATGGATACTTTTTTTTAAAAATACTGACCTGATTTGGTACTAAGCTCAACCAATGAATTCACTTCATGGTTCAAAAAAGAATGAAAAATGGAGCAACTTTGAAGATTGGTAAATTCAAATGAAGGTGGGGATTTCTGTAAATTGTAAGAAGAAAATTGTGTTATGATGTGTGATAATATACAAAGAGTGTTGATCAGAAAATCAAAAGTCAAAACATCATGTACTAAACCTGGTTCCCAAAAACTTGAAGACCCCAAATGGAAACATCATCCTCATCACTTAGTTTTGTCATCTACAAAATACAACTCATTGGGTTACATTGCAATGAAAGAACAACAATGTTTTATACGAATTCAGATAGATAATGAAAAAATAAGAGCAAGATTTGTGCCTTTTCATGACATTCGTCAACGTATTTAGATAATTTGGCAACTCTGCCGTCTTCGTCATCATCAGAGTTGTAGGTTTTTTTGGTTTTAGCTATTTTTGATTCTCTTTCGATTACCCTATTCTTCTCCTTGTAGTGATCCACTAGTAAATCATCCAGACCAATCACTTTTTTCCTGTGAATTTACAGTTGAAGCTTCACATATTTGAAGTAACAAAAGTGAAAGTGCATCTGTTAACTATCAAAAGAGGAATTGACCCTTAAACTGTAGTGGAATCAGATAAAAATCAAAAACCCTAACAGTCGAACATGTCAACAGAAGTCAAAAGGTAATGACCAATAATCTAAACCCTAATTTTACAGATTTAGAAAGTTCATACGAATGAAACGATGCAAGATAACAAAAGCGGGAACGAAAGAAACGTTTCGACTTTCAGGAAAAGAACAAAGGGGGTTAACGTTACCTTTTTTTGGGGGCGACAACGGGTGAAGATGCGAGTAGAGCATCCGACTCGAAATCAAAAGGGTCGTCTTCCATATTCTGAAGTTTTGAAAGATTTTCTGATCTTCGAGAATCGAGAATCCTTCTGTGTTGACGAACCTGACACCGTTTCAAACAAGACGCCTTCCGCCGCGCCAAAACTGGGGGAGAAAACCTTTTGGATGGACCCGACCCGATTACCAAACTGATGGGTCTTTATTCGGGTTTTCAATCCGAACATCAAGTAATTCGATCCGCTTATTAATTGGGCTTTGGGCTTTGAAGTGGAAAACACATAGTTAACAATACAAGTTCAAAATTGAAGCAATACTAACAACACCAACAATTTCAAAGCCTCACTGACTCATTTAGAAGCAATAAATTTTCTAACGAAATTTGGGCACGGCAATGGCTGCATTTTGACCAAAACTAGTTTTACCCAAAACAATACCAACAATTTCAAATCAACATACAAGTTGAAAATAGAAGCAATTTTTATCATTTTAAGCGAATAATGACATTTGACAACTATTTTAACATTTATAACCATAAACCATAAAATGAACTTTTATTATTTAAAGTTATAACGAAATATATATTTTTTTCGTTATTTAAAACATCAAATCACAACACTCCTAAAAACAAATTAAAATTTTATTTATGAATTAATGGAATATAATCGATATACGGCATACTCTAAGAGGCTAAGTCCTAGAAATCCTAACTCCAAATCCATTTCTCGATCCAGAGTTCTAGACGTGAAAGGCATGTATTTTGTTGTTCATTTCATTCTAGTCAATGTAAAATGTTAATTATTAGTTAATTTAGAGATGTGCATAATTCGTATAAATTTAGCATGTGAAAAGTTACTCAAAAATAACATGTCGGCTCTTTGACCCAAAATCAACCCACTAACCGGCAAACACATATGCTTAAACGGATTATATGGGTTGGGTTAGGTTGATGTTTACAACCTACTGACCCATATATTATATGGGTTGGGTTGGGTTAGTGTATTCTGATCCACCAACTCGTCAACCCGAAACCCGACCCAATTGTCAAGCCTATTAATAAGCCAAACACCTTCCATAATCAACAAATGATCGAAAGTAACCACCCACTGTTTCAAGAATATTATTTTATCCTAAACACTAAGAATACCACAAGATAACCCATTAGAAGCAGAAATAGCAAAATCAAAAAAGAATTACCCTATAAACATCTAACATGAAAGTCGTTGATTGAGTCAAATTTTATCTTTTGAATAGTAAGGAAATTAATGCAATCATTAAGACATAATTTCCTCACCCATCTCTTTTTTCGCCTAAGCAAAACCTTAAATATTCGATGAAAGAAAATTCGATGACACTCAAATTCTCCAAATTGTGTAATAATCTTCTAGTTATGTACTTCACACCCATTTGTTGAAAACCCCATAGCTTCACTAATCTCTACAATAGCATTAAGCTTTTCTAGAATATAAAACCCCTCTGAATGCTTATTTGGTTTTTTTTTGTAAGACTCTCGCACCTTAGAACTAACATCCGAGCCTTCACAAACCTGGTCTCCAATGATTTTATTTTGTCCTAAAACTGGCCCAGTCTTACTTACTAAAACCGAGGCAACAGCAGGAGAAAAAACAGCCCCTCGGTTTTGATCATGTTGTTGATCACATGCTTCTTTTTCTCGGACAGTAGGCGTGAATTAGGATTTATAGAATTTTGTTGATTTCCTTCCATCGACTTGGCAGTTGACGTAACTAGAGTCGGTTCATCTTTATCTTGAGAAGCAAAAATTCTATATATTGTTTTTCCATTAGCTATGATTAAATCATTTAAACTGAAAAGGGTCACAGTTCACTTCAACATTAGAAACATTATTATGATTATTGTCTTGCAATTGAATCGGTTTCCGATACCCCTTCCAAATCATCGTTTTCATCTCATTCCTCTACTTGAACCGACGGTTCACTCTCACCGTCTTCCACTTCATTTTGCAGAATGTGTGGATTTACAAAACTATCAATATTTTCTTTCGGTTTTAACTCCAAGCCCGAATAATATGAATCTCCCCTTCAAAAATTAAATTAAATAAATCCACAATCAATGAAGCTTCGGTAGTTTTAATAAATAATCTCATACTAAATAAATTAGTGTCACCCCGGTCACCAGTGGAAATGTTAGGTTGTGCAACGTAGTCATAGATCACAGTTATTGAACATTGAACAATAAAAAAAATAACAATACAAAATACATATTCTATTAATACCGAATAGATATTACATTGTTTTTGTTCTTCGAGTACATGAAAACCAAATTACGATGCGTGTCTTAATAATCATGCATAAACATAAATTGGGATTTATTAGTGGTTCCTTAATTATTCATGAGGGTAAAACTCCATTTAATTACGTCTTTTAGAATACATGAGTTTTGAAGATATGTAATAATAATGTTGGTGAGTTCCAAACGTTTTAACACATTGTACTTTTATAACTAAAAGTATATTTATATAATTTTGATTGGTTATCCTACTGATATAAAATGTGTACTTTTTCTAACCAAAAAGTGTAAAATTTGATACTATAAATACCTACCTTACTTATGTGATACGTGGTTCTTTTCATTTTAATAATTTTGATCATAAGTTCTTACCTGACTTATCAAATACATTCATACTTGTAAATCAGTACAAGTACTAAATAGATCAAATTAAGTCCTATTTAAACTTAATTAATTGCTTTTAGAGTGTACTTTGTGGCGATTATAAGCCTATACCGAGCTAATGGCTAGATTCAACCTCTATAAGGCACTAAAAAGGGGTCAGAACATCTCCAACACTTCATCAATGTCGTGAAAGAGATTAGAGAATGAACATTATCAACCGTTTACACTCATCAGGCAAGGGTTGTAGCTATCAACAACATGTACGGTGTCAACACGTATAGGTCTATACACAACGTTACTCACTCGTTTAAGATTAATGTCTATAGCATAGAGGGGTTTTACTAAGTTTTTGTTCTTAGTTAATGAAGTGATCAACTTATATAGTACACCCAAGTTGAAATAGTTCTAAAAGTGTGTGCTTTCATTTCCTAAACTTTAAGTTAAAAACTTTCTAGACTCGTTATTCATTTGTTAAGTTCAAACCACTCTATAAGTGTGATTGTGTGTCCTAAACTTTAAGTTGTGAAGTTTCTAGACTCGTTTTTTATTCATTGTATAAAAACCATTATAAATTATCTAACGAAATTTGGGCAGCGTAATAGCTGCATTTTGACCAAAACCAAGTTTTACCCAAAACAATACCAATAATTTCAAATTAACATACAAGTTCAAAATAGAAGCAATTGTTGGAATCCTAAGTCTTGGGGTCCAAGCAATCTAATTTATGGCAAGTATAATTTATGGCAAGTTGGTTATAAGTTTTCCAGTCTAATACAAGTTGGTAACCATAATCGAGTTTATGATTATGAGAACATATTGTAAAAACATTGGTTTTGAGTAATTTTCCAATTAATCAAAGAGTTATTTTGGTTATTTTGTTTTGCATTCTTGTTTTCTAAACTTTAATTGGTATTAGAGCTGAGGAACCGAAGGCTAGGAGATCAAATTTATACATGTTGTCAAGTTAGGTCAACATGTCGAATGCAGGAGGAGCTGCTCCGGTGAATGTGAAGGAAGTTGGGTCCACCACAGTCGTATGTCCCATGTTATCATCAACTAACTATATTGTTTGGGCTCTACGAAACAAGGTAGGTCTCAAAATCCATAAGGCTTGGACAGTAATTGATCCAGGAACAGAAAAGAACGAAGATAAAGATTACCTGGCGATGGGGTTGTTGTATCAAGCGATCCTGGAGACTTTGATTATGCAAATCAGGGATGTGGAGTCCTCAAAGGTGTTGTGGGACGCAATCAAAGCCAGGCGTGTGGGTGATAACCGCGTGAAGGAGGATAGGTTACAAACCTTGATGGCAAAATTCGACCGATTAAAGATGTCTGACTCGGAATCAATTGACGATTTTGCGGGAAGATTGTCTGGGTTAGCCTTAAAATCGGCATCCCTATGAGAAGTAATTGATGAAAGGAAGCTTGTGAAGAAATTTCTCAAATCATTACCGAGAGTGAATTTCATCCACTTGGAACAAGTCTTGGATCTCAATTCGGTTGGATTTAAAGATGTTTTGGGAAGGCTTAAAGCTTATGAAGAAAGGATTAGGGAAGAGGGTGATGACGGAGGAAAAGAATCAAAGGGTTTGTGGTCATCGAGCAGTGGCGACAATGGTTCAGGTGGTGGCGATGGCTTGTCTGGTGGAGTGAAGGAAAGATCGACAAAGGGAAAAGGGGTGTCTAAATCATGTAATCGGGTATCATAAAGGGGTAAACCCAATCACCACAAGTCCAATTCTGATTTAATTCAACCCAATTCCACCAATTGCAAAAAATGTAATTGTTGTTGTGACAAAAATCGGAAAAATAGCGAAAAAGGACCGATCTAAGGTGATTTGTTTTTAGTGTGATACATCGGATCACATTGCCAATGAATGTCCGGAACGACTTCAAAAATTACAAGAAGGTGATTTTCGGAATGTGATGACAACGATGAGCCCATATTTTAAATACGGGTTGGGGTTGAAGAATTCTCTAGAAAGATTTAGAGATTCGGGGGTGATTATTGGAATCCTAAGTCTTGGGGTCCAAGCAATCTAATTTATAGCAAGTCTAGTTTATGGCAAGTTGGTCATAAGTTTCCCAGTCTAATACAAGTTAGTATGTTAGGCTATATACGTGTCCATATTCGAGTTTATGATTATGAGAACAGATTGTAAAAGCATCGGTTTTGAGTGATTTTCCAATTAATCAAAGAGTTATTTTGGTTATTTTGTTTTGCATTCTTGTTTTCTAAACTTTAGCAATTTATATCATTTTAAGCGAATAATGAAATTTGACAAGTATTTTAACATTTATAACGATAAACCATAAAATGAACTTTTCTAATATATAGTTATAACAAAATATATACAAATGGTTTAAAAACATTCGTTTTACCAACCGGTATATATATATATATATATATATATATATATATATATATATATATATATATATATATATATATATATATCAAAAAAATCAACTTATATAAACCTTTAAACTAATGATTTAACTTTTATATCAAAAGAAATGACGAGATGCACGTATTCTCCCCCGAGAAAAACATAAAAATTTGAAGAGGGGGGGGGGGGGGGGGAACTCACTTTCATTCGGTGCTTTACCATTGCTTTGTTCAGATATGAAATGGGGATTCGAACTGCGACTTGTTATTTTACAAACGACACCTCGTTTTCACAAAACGACACTTGAAGGTTGTAGATAGGGCAAAAGCGAGTCGGAAAACTATTCGGATTCACCGGAAAACTGTTCGGATCGGGAACTGGGATTTGTCTAGCAATTTCTGACTTTTTACATGATACACTTTTTGTAACATCCCATTTATTAAATAAATAAATAAATGAACTAATAATTGAATAGTAGTCCTAAAATCCATAATATTTAGCGGGGTGTTGGTTTTGGATAGCCAAATGATATAATTTTGATTTCCGAGGGTTAAAGTGTAATTTTGGGATTTATTTTGTAAATATTTTTAGAAGTCAGGGGGTGTTTGGTAAATATTGGACCTAAATTGAAATGAGTTTGGAATGCTGAGGGCTGAATTGGTAAATGTTAGATTTAATTTGAATGAAAAAGGATAAGGAGGGACTGAAAG